GTAATTGCGTCCATTGCATTTTTATTGAAAAATAATGCATTGCAATGTACACTATTTTGGAAAATCGACTACATGAGTAGTGACTACTAGTAAAACTGAGTTCACTTTTTTTTAAGAAATAAACTGTAAGATGGTTAATCAACTCATTCTCTGTTTCTGTATTCAATAGTAAAGCTTTACAAATCCTGGTTGAATTATTGAATATATAAAAGAAAAAAAAATTTCAAAAATTTCTGAATAATTACATCGAAATATGTTTCTCCTATTCATTGATATAATTGTCTTTGTCAAATATAATGACTTTTTCATAGTTATCAATAGGTAATTTTACAAAGAATATGTCATTAAGTTCGAAAAAATTAGCGTGTGAACTATTTGTCCATGGAAGAAGAAAAAGAAAGAGCTCGAAAAGATTCAAATAAATGTTACTAGAAGATAACATCATGTCTTAAGAGGCAAGTGACGTTGATAGTAAGGGTGTAGCTGTGAGATAAGAGTACACCATCAACTTCACATGGAAGCTTTTCTTTTTTCTCAATTCTTTTCTACGTCAATTTAAAGTCAAGAAAATTTTTATGATAAATTTAAATTGTAAATGATCTTCTTTCTCCAGATAGTAGCATGGTATTTTACCGATGACTCGGATCAAATAATCTTTGAGTTAACTATGATACACTTGTGAAACAATGAAAATGTTTGTGTTCGTAACCTAGGATAAGAATTGAATATTGAATTATCTAATTTAAGAAATCTGCAAATAGAAAGTGATCCATTGTCTGTCTATCGAAAAGATAGCAAAATTGCGTTTTTCTATATCAGTCGCAAGACAATTTGATTAAATAAAAAATCGAGTGAGCACCTCTTGCTAATCATATTCGGTTTGAAGTGATATGAGTGGCAGGTGATTCGACTAGAGTTGTGCAAGATCAAGTTTTTCTTTCATTTGGCTGATAGTGATTTCTTTTCTAGTGGTCACAATCTTGATTATGGCTCTGATCTAAACGAACCAGCTTCGAAATATACTCAAAAGAATTCTGGAGAATATTGGAAAGTTTGCTTCTTTAGTTATATAAAATCATTGACTATGACATTATTTAGTCTTCTCGCCATGCAACTGCAATCGAACATGTAAATATAATCGTCGATATCTGCTCTAATACTAAAAGATGCTGAATTTTAACGTTTACTAGTCTCCGAATTCAACAGAACCAACTATAGTCTATGCTTCTGATACTTTCATATTTCGTATTTTTTGAATTAAAACAAATAAAATCAAAGGTAACTTTTTATTAATCTATATATTTAACAATCTTTCAATTAGTGTCTATTGTGTAATTGACCTAATCTTATGTGGTATGAAAAAGCACACTATATGATGAATATTTCGACAAAAAAAAAGAATGATTTGATGGATGAGTCACAAATGACTTGTGATAGAAAATGTTAGATAGAAGGAAAAAAACTATTTCCTATTCATCATAGCTTAATAAGTCTATACATAAATATTTATTGTTCATTGTTTTCACCAATGACAATACGAAAAAGACAGATATATACAGACTGATACAAATAGATAGTATGAGTTAGACATGCATGATTCCAATAATAATCATGTCAATATACTCAATTTGACAAATGAAATGTTACTTACCATTTTCAACAAATTGAATATCGGCGATGCTTTTTATTGGTTTTTGAATATTGATGAACAATTTGATCAATTATTAGTTCATCCGCTTTTTAGCCGTCATCTTAATATGATCATCAAAACATCATTTTATCGTATCGCTTGAATACACAATCAAGTTCTTTATAGCATTTGGGAAAACCCTTATCTAGAAATCATCATCAGTTTAATGAACTCACTGTTGTACTATATTCAATGTAATCTATTCTTGTTTCTTTATTTGTTAATTTTCAAGAAGAAATACTGTTTCAATATTGCACAAGTATATTAATTATTTCGTTTGTTTTATAATTGAAAAAAAGCAATGATTTTATTAGGCATATACATTTACTATTATCCTTGGTTTTTTTTAAATTGGAGAAGATTAAATTATTTATCAAGAATAAACTAAACATCCGAATATTGATATTCATAATGAGATTATAACAAAATAGTCTGATACTCTTTCAAAAAAATTGTTTTATTCTTAGTTTTAAGTAAAGGGTAAATCAGTTAAAATTTTTGTCAATTATTTTATGATCGAAGTTTATCGATTTGATTGTCTAATCGAACATCAAAAAATCGCATGCGTGTAACGGTAACTAAATCGAAAATCAATATCGTGACTTTTGATGGTTGTCTTTATTTTCTTGATAGTCGTCTCAATTGTTTATCAACATAAATTATGCGTATTACGAAAATTTTGGATATGGCTTTGGATATGAATTGACTGATATTTCTGCGCACGGCATTTAACTACCTACATTCACATCCCGCAAAATGAATTTTTGTTCTATTCTGATTATGTTAACTTACCTGTGTGCATGTAAGGATGAGGTGAAGTCACAGCCAAATTCAATTATACCCATACCCATTCACACCAACACCTAGCCATACCTACTCCCACAATTATACCTAGATCCAACTTCACTCATGCATCTCACATCCACACCCCGGATAGATGTATACACATACGCGCCCTCACCTACATTCAGAGATAAGTATTGCAGGAACACTCGACATATCTTATGTTACCGTCACTGTGTCATGAAACAAATATTTGCACACTAAAAATTTTCTAAAAATAACTAACTGTTCTTGTCCTTGTGGAACTCTGTTGGATAGCAGTTCTGATATTAAACTTTTCAGACTACTGTGCCTATCCATGTTTACGTTGATACAAACTATGAAGTCGCAAATTAATGTATTGAACATTTGTAATCTTTGTCATATGCGGTATAGTAAACGAAAAAAAAAAGGAAAAATTCCGAAGTTGCCATAATTATGAATCGCTTGAAAACTGATATGGGTGACATAAATGCTGTCAAATGTAGTTCAGTGAATATTTAAACAACAATTTCCTATCTTATTTTTCCTCAACTCGGATGATAAGATAGGCGTCTCATTAAATAATGCTTCTTCACAAGTAATGAAATCGGATCAACAATGCAATCAATTAATAAGGGATCAGGTAGTTGAATTATACCTAAGTTCAACTTTGTGTTCACACATGTGAATAAAAAAATTTTTTCTATCATAAGAAATCTTTACTATTATTCTGTAGAGTGTGCTGCATTTGGAAAAAATATTTTGATAGTAATGCAATGAAAAACCCATCAGATAAGCAAGATTGTTTGCTATTTATACTCAACATGTAGATATCAGGGAAAGAACGATACTGCTCTAAAAACTTAAATTAACTGTTAGTTGACAATAGAAGCTACTGACGAAAATAAACTGAACTGTTCTAAGCACACCAGCAAGAATTAAATTCTCCTGATGTTCAACTTTCTATAAAAAAAACCACACAATTTACTTAAAACAAATAAAAAGATTTGGTTTCGATGACTCACGAAAACTTACAGATGATAAATTTGGCTTAGGAACTTATCGTACAAGAAATAATGTTCATGAACATGTGAAAGGTATGAGTGTGAGTGAAGAAATACACACACTTATGAATTAAGCAAATAAAGAAGCTACATATATATGCGGATAAATGCGTCTATCTTTTGTCGACATATTGGACATGATCGTAGTGAATGCCCACATGGGACACACGTGGCCAGATGACCACATGGAACACAAGCCAGAGTCTTGTCTTCGGTCAGACACAATGCACATGGACTCGTTGAAACTGTATTCGCTGTTTGGATAGGCCGAGCATTGGTACTCATTGGAGTTTTCTTGGACATTTTCGTTTCTTCAATGGCTCGATCTACAAGTGTTCTTGAGTTGGATTGGCTAGTAGATGATTCAGACGTAGTGGTCATTTCAACATCAGAAGCGTTCGATGAACTCATTGAGACCATTGCAGCAGAAGACGCTGTCGAGGATTGTGCAGGAAGAATTTCTAGATAATAATTATATCATATGATTTGGACTATACGAATGATATTTAAGCTCTACTACGCAGTAATAAATAGTTAATTGATGTTCTCTTTTATTTTGTGAAACATGATTGTGAAGCTATTAAGCGAGACATTTGAACTTCTTATTTAGCCTTGAATTGCGATCTCAAAATACTGATTTTATGATTGCGTTACAAAATGTACGAGATGTTAGACAAATATTTAGATTATGAATACACTAGCTCTATCAGATGTCATACATTTTTTGTGTGCATAAGACTTTTTTTATAGATAAATGCATCGCCAAAGTCGCACATCCACTTATTGAGGTAAATAAGTAAATATTGCCCTTTCAATTGATATTTTATGTAAGTTATTGTTTTCAGTCACGGTCGATTACGTTAGCAGGACATGTCGTATATACTTATCTACATCAATAAGTTGATTCTTACTTTATTTTGATGCCCATAACGAAGAGAAAACCGACGAGGAGATTCGTACTCGCTAAACTGATTCTTTTTTATGTAAGAAAAATACCTGGTACGAATGCCTCTCGCATTTGTCGCATTTTAATACTTGGTACTATGATATTTTCTTTTTTGCCGTTGATACAATTGATTTGTTTCTGTAGAATAATGCAAGCCATCAATAGATCGCAATCGGTAACAAAATCATCCACTAAAAAAACAACAACAGTGATTGTAGGTATTTTATTTCATGTTATCGTTGTAAACATAATCTTTTTTTTACATACATTTCAACCGAAGTTGATCCTCCCAACAACGTTTAATTATTGATAATTTGAAATTTTGGTTAAGCAAATTTTGCGATATAGGTAAATCTAGGCGAGCAGCCACCAAGCGTGACAATGTACTTTCATCCGATATTTGCAATTTTTGCGCACCACTAGTAACATTGTTGGTTGATTCCTTGGGTTTAGTACGTTCTAGAAGCAAAACAACAGAGTCACTTCATCATTTTGTTTAGCAGTCAAAAATTTTAGAAAACGAACCTTGTACGCTTCGTTTGGACTCCTGAATTTTTCGATATAGATCATCTCCGCAAAGTTGCTTTGCATATCCACAATGCGGAAACCACCTAGCATGCTCAATTATAGGATTATCGTTCGCACCCCAATTCTGCAACGAACCATTGCAGTAGAAACACGTAACTATCGTTCCAGTGCCGTTATAAAAGAATCCGGCACGAACGAGATCATCAACAGATGGAAGTGGTTCGTTGGGCCATGTAGCAAATGATTGATGACGTTTTGGAATTTCTATATAATATGAGTTGCAAGCAGCGGCAAGCACAATTTCATGTGAGCGAAATGCGTCGACAACACCAGCAACTGCTGATGTTCCGTTGGTCACGGAACTCAGATTGATAATTGATGGAGGCGTGGCTTCACGGCGTATTAACATATTGACGACAAAAGGACATTTAGGCGAAAGCGTTTTATGCACTTCACATGGGTCGTCTGTATGTGGTGTCCATTGTTGACAAATAAGGTTACAATAGATACAGATAACCCGATCGCCAACATTGCAATTGAAAAAGCCAGCTTGGATCATTTGTGTTTGAGATGGTGAAGTTCGATGTGGCCAATGCGAGAATGTCTGACGACGTACTTTTTTCACCATTTCCACTTCGACAAAAGGAGGTGTCTCAATACTCCTGCTGGTTGCTTCTATTTTCTGACGTTTAGAAGGCATATCTTCTTCTTTACTGGAATCAGTAGTTGGTAAATCAACATTAATAGCTGTTGATGTATGAGACGAAGTGAAGGATAAGACTTCAGTCGATGATTTAATAGATTTAACGAATTTACAATTTGGGCTACGTTGTGCATGAACTGAAAACGGATTCATATCCAATGTCCAACTAGCCACTTCTAGTTGACAATCATTGCATCGAGCTGTATCGCCAACATGTGTGTAATGAAATCCAGCTGCTTCCAAAAAATTAACAGAGTGAACGCCTGGTTGTGTAGTAATACGTCGACATCTTTCTATAATCTTAGTTAACCCATGGATACCGTGCGATGTAACTTTGCACTCATCCGATGTTGATACCTTACACAGAGTCTCACCATGTACTCGGGAGTTTGAACACTCAGATTCTACTTGTTTTTGACAGTTTTTCTCAGTACTCGACTGCACTTGATCGCAGCTCCTGCATGTTTGACTGTTTAAAATGGAAGTCTTAGAATAAAAGAGTTCTTTCTGAGCATCAGTCTTATTGCACTGTACAAATGGCTTCAAATCCTCGAATTGCGTCGAAGATTCGAGAGTTTGTTTTCCATCATTTAGCGATTGTTTTGATGAAGTGAAGGGTTCTGTTAGTGTGTCTCTCATGTCAAGTATTGTTGTTGAAAGTGAGATAGCGCAATTAATGTGAATAGTTTCGTCTAGATAGTTTTATCTAAAAATTCAATCAAGATTAATTCCTGTAGCGATTTATTGTTTTGCATATCCAAGATACAGATATGAGAAAAGTGAATTAGTCATTGATAAGTAAGGTTATTCAAAAACAAAAGATGTACAATCATAGAAATAATACTCTAGTTTCCATCATAATTTATGTTCTGTATGATTTTCTGCGATATATATGAAAGACTTTTCCTTATAAAACTAAAGTCTAAGCATCAGCATTTATCAGATCTTTAGAATGGTGTTAGAGCCACTAACCAGTTACAGAATAGTGATAGCAAGCCTAATATGGTATACAACATCCGTCAAGTTATTTGCCTCGACTTGACATCGAGACTTTTTACAACTATCCCCTCACGTAACCTAAAAAGTTTTTGTTTCGTTTTTACGAAAGTACAGAGAATCAATCTCGCCAATTAGAGAATATCATCTTAGTTTTTTCAAAAACTTTTACAATAAGTCAGAAAGCGAAATTTTTTTAAATTGTCATGTGGATCAAGGCTACATCCAAAAAAAAGAGGCTTTACGACCCTATTTGATTTTGTATTTTGTTCTAGGCACATAAAAACACATTCTATATAGATTATTGGATCTATTCTATCTAATGAATGCCTTATCGATCCTTCTTCTTTGTCTGATTCCACACAAAGAAAAGTATCATATTTCTTTAGTCAGAATTTTTTTTTATAGAAGATGAAGAATGGCTGATGAGGGAACAACCACAACTGTCCAATCGCTTTTCGCTTGGTTCTATTGCCATTCGATCAATCTTAGTGAGTAGTGAAAAAGCCTACTTTGGTTTGATTTTCTGATCTTCTGTTATTGACTTATGGACACTTTACTGGATTTTTGGCCTATGGGCATGAGATTCCATAGGAACCTGAATGATTGAATTTCGAGCTGAAATTTTGTGCATAGACAGCTCTCATAGTCATTAGAAAATTCCAAAGGTTGAACCAGGGCAAACGTACCCTTACCCACATATTAGCTTGTGTCGAAAATATGGTTTACATGAATTTCGGCCCAAGGAATTTTCGGCCCGGACTTTCGGCCCGGTCCGACTGTCCGGTGATTTTTCGGCCCAGGCCCAAATTCGCCTTGTCAATCCCTTAAAAGAAGCCATATTTCTATAACTAGTTGGTACACTTCGTAGTGCTGAGCAGTACGTCGTAGGTCTGAACAGTATGACGTAGTCCTGAGCAGTACGACGTAGTGCTGAGCAGTACGTCGTAGTGCTGAGCAGTAGGACGGAGTGCTGAGTAGTGCGTCGTACACTCTAAAAAAACAAGGTATTCTTGGAAACCGGTGGCAAAAGGTTTCCGAGTGTGTCACTATAGGAAACCTTTTAAGGATTTCCGAGAGCATAAAAATGGGTTTCCGAGCCCTCGAAACCCTTTTTCCGCCTGTTTCCGAGAATCCCTTGTTTCTTTTGAGTGTACGACGTACTGCTCAGCACTATGTCGTACTGTTCAGCACTACGAAATGCGCTAACTATTCATTGAAGTTGGACTTTTTTTATGAATAGCAGTGAGATGAATTTCGCCCTGGACCGGATTTCCAGTGATATTTCGGCCCGGGCCGAAACGCCGCCGGACTTTGGGACCGGGCCGAAGTTCCGGACCGAAAATTCCTTGGGCCGAAATTCTGTCCTCCCGAAAATATCCCTGTTTTGAAACATAGTCGCAAAGAGACTTTTTTTTAAAATCTGAGTATCTCGATAATGATGCATTCGTTCTGGCTCGAACTTTGGGGATTTTCTAATGACTATGAGAGCTGTCTATGCACAAAATTTCAGCTCGAAATTCAATCATTCAGGTTCTTATGGAATCTCATGCCCATAGGCCAAAAATCCAGTAAAATGTCCATAAGTCAATAACAGAAGATCAGAAAATCAAACCAAAGTAGGCTTTTTCACTACTCACTAAGATTGATCGAATGGCAATAGAACCAAGCGAAAAGCGATTGGACAGTTGTGGATGTTCCCTCGTGCGTAGCCTTATCGAGTGAGCTCAGCAAGATGTGTCCTCCACTGGCTAGTGTACTACTTTAGGAATTTCTATCATAACGAAAATCTGTACTTTTTATTTTTTGAAAAAAGATTTTTGAATCAAAAACTAACCGTTAATTACTCATTCATCTCAAGCTGTAAGGCTGAAAAGCATGATTGGCATGTTGGAAATGTGGATGAGGGTATTTATTTCACGCTTATACTGGCATTCTCTTACAAAAGCTTTTTTCATTATAACGAAAATTCGTAAGTGTGGAACTGAAAAAGTTGGTTCAATTGAATGCACTGACTGCTAAGTTTCGAAAAATCCTGAACGTTTTCTTATTCTATTTACACTGCTACGGGGGAGGGGGGGGGGGGGGGGGGCTCATTTAAAAATAGTGAAAAAGTTTTCGTTTTCTTACGTTAGAGGAACTCGAAAGTTTCTCGTGTTCTCTATGCCATAATTTTACACGAAGATCTTCATTACTTCATCGATGACTTCTTGCTCTCTGTTTCTCTCACTCCAGACATCTGTAGGCTAGCTATGGGAAGTACATATGTTGTTTAAACTTGTTTGCCTGACATCTTCTGTATGCAAAAAGTGTCATACGCACTCAGGATTTGATATCGTCTGAATCGATGAAATATAAATGTACTTGATGGATCGATTCTGTTTTGTGTTCATCGGCTGTTCTATTACGCAGTTTTACATCAACCAGCAGCTGTTGTATTGTTTGGAAAAGACCGATCACTTGAGGCTGTACAAGTGCTATACACGAATGGTGTGAGTAAACTAGGAAGAAACAGAAGAAAAAGCCAAGCGAATCACGAGTGTTGTAGAACGAATAAAAGTGGGAGGCAGTAGATGGGGTTAGCCTCAGTATGTGTGTGATCAATACCTACAATATGAAGACTATTTTTTTCAGTTGAACTTTTTATTTTCGTTACTAATAGGTATGTCATGGTATTTAGTTAGAAGATATGAAAGGTCAGCCTTCGTCACACTATTTATCCACGAAGTGCAACACAGCTTCATTGACTGGCATAAAATTTAAGTGCTTCTGTAGAGTGCACTGGAATATGTCTTTTTCTGTGAAACCAAACTGATAAGCAAATACAGAATGATACATTCTGCACTGCCTTTAACAGGTTTTTTCCAACTACCCTATAAACATCACAAACTGACATCCATGAGTAGTACTATCGCGTAAGCACGAATGTATAAGTATCGGAAGAGATTATCTACACTTTTTTAAAAGCTATGGTTTGGAGCATAACTGTGTTCTAGCAATAAAGTAGACCATAAAAGTGTAATATGAAAGGCCTTCAACAATTTTTGACAATACTGTGTGTTTCCGTCAATACATAGTGACTCTTCACAGAATCATGTAAGAACAAGTTTGCCTGTGCTGTAACTGATCGATTCAGTTTAAGATCATCACCATTGCTCAAAACTTGAGGGTGGGTAGATGATGTTAACATTGAATAGTTGTTGATAACCAGCGACTGAAGAATAGACTTACTTATGTCAACATTTAGTCTTGCCCTCGCTCGCTACATCCACACCCAAGCTCATTATGCGCTATTGAGCGGTCGTAAATTTTGTTTTTAGGTTGGGCTCGGTTTTTATACTTGGATATATTTCTAGTGTGATTTTTAAAATGTTGTGTGGGAATTTTGATGATCACTATCTTTATCAAGCCTTACCAAAACTATTTGTCGCTCCCTGTTCAATCACCTGATCCGACATTTATCAAGCTTGGTTGGCCACTATTGATGAACTAATGTGAAAAATCACATTTGAAAATGGACTGATCAATTAGAGGCTATTGTCGAATGTAGTGATAATTTATTCGAACTTTCAATAGATTGAATAACTCTTGTCGAGTTTGCCTACACGTACAAATGTTGTATCTATATATGAAAAAACAGACTCAATCTATTTCCATATGTTTTGTCTTAATTCCATGCGAAACGACATCAAATTGGTGTTTTTAGGTGAGAATTGGTCTGAATCGGTATTTCGAATCGAAAATGACATGAAGAAACGATTATTTAATACTTGATCAGAAGAAATTAAAGATAATTTTGTCAATGTCTTTGAATAGAAAATATAGAAGTTCGTTTCAACTATTTCAATACCGAATCACTTGAGAAAAGATGATCATTATCGATTTTATTCAATGATGAGCACTACAATTCAGCACTGGATAGATTCTTTACGTTCGTAAAATTTAAATCCCGATAGAACTCAATACAATATCAAATGTTAGCATAGGCGAAAGTGAATACCGATAATTATATACAAAAGTCTTCTCAGTGATCAGAGTAAATTGCATCAAGACGTGTTCACGTTTTGTATGACAGAAAAGACAGCATTGAATAATGAAGTGAATAAAAGAAAGACTTAAGCATCTAGTTTTTGGACTCGGATTGCCAGCTTCTCGTCTTTTGTTAGTTCGATCACCACTAGAACTTCTTTGTAGCACCAATGGTGCCTCATATTTGGCTTGACATCGACATCTACGAAACATTTTAAAACTGCTTGTAGGTCGATCGATTTGACCGTAATATATGTTGAATGAAAGTTATTGCCTGTTAAGACCACTACAACCATTTGCCGATAAGAGATAGAACACAGAACAAGGTAATGCTCTCGTGAAAAATTCGAAACTAAACCGATTGAAAAGATGAAATGAAGATATTTTTCAAATTTTCTTTTATCAGGCTAGAAGTGACGTCATTGATGGAAAGTATTTCACAATTTTTTATCAATGTAATAATGGCGCGTTGCAGTGCGCGCTTGTAAGAATTTTAAGAGTGCAAATAAAAGCGACAATACAACTTTTTTACAGAAATAGAAACTGAGTAGACACACTGATAAGAAGAAAAAAGGAAAAAAGGGTATGAAGAGAGTAAAGAAAGAGAAGAAAAACAAAGTGTGATACATTAAATTAATATCCTTTCTTTTTCTTTCTATTCATTTGTCTCAATAAGAAGCAACCACTTTAAAAGGAACGTTACGTTTCGAGATGAATGCATCTTTTTTGGGCTTATATCAATTTGAAAGAATTGCCGAGTTCCAATGTGCGAAATTCTTCCATTGAGTTTAATATGGATTATCTGTAAATTTACAATTAGAGATACCCAACTATCAGAGTGATCTATGATAGCATGTTGATGCCAAGAAACGCACACATCGGATTCAACTGCTCTATCGCTTTTTGATCACATAATTGCAGATACAAAGTATAGATGTTCTATGTAGTACAAGTAAAACAAATGAAATGAACTATCTCTTTGTTACGTAGTAAAGAATTGCATTAAGTAGTGTGTTTATTCTTGATTCAAAAAATAGACACATGACAAAAAATAATAGAAAGTAGGACCAATAGAGAGAAAAAAAAATGGTGAGTACATGATGATGCGTACATATAACAAATAGATGAAGAGAAAGAGTGACGTTGATGTGAATCGTCTCTTTTTGACCACATCCCATCCTTCTTACGGACCGTGATCGATATAACATGCGTCATTGTGTGAAAACAAAGTGGCTCGGTTATTCTTCATATTAATATCAGGTAGGAATCATCCTGACAGTCTTTTTATTCAGAATTGGAGTATAAATTGTGCCCATTTTCTACTCTCACTACCTGACAATTTCGTTCAGAATCAAATTCTATAGCTTTTATTTCAAATGTTGGTTTCCTCGCAATTAAAAACTTACTTTCCTGAGGAAACTTTGGAGTTGTTCATTTATTAGATTTGCAATATGTCCACAATTTTGTCTCCTTTTATTTTGAAATTTTATTCCTGATGTATTACTTAATTCTTGTATTTTATGAGGATATCCATGATACATCAGCACCAACCAATCGTTGACCACTATCGGGTATTTCACTTGTATCGATTACTAATAAACACCCTGTTCCACCAATAAAACTAAGTGATACTTCTTTATCCCACGATGTACTCACAAATGTACCATACTTGAAGTGCTGATCACTTTTATCTCTACCATGATTGTTAAATATGGATTGATCCATTTTGATATCTCTTAAACCATGATATACTGTTGGAGGACGATTTTCGCTTTCATCATGTTTATCTAACAGCCGAATAGCTGAGTCCAATATCGCACCAAATATCGGCCATTTTTGGTGATGCCAATTATCGTCTGGTAGGAATGGATTTTGTTGACAGTAAAGTATCTCATCCCAACGTAGATCAGCGTAAACCATTGTATCTGTGTACAATATAATTGCAAGCATTTGATCATGGTTAAGAGGTGAGCCCATCCTCAAATGTCTTGGATGTTTCAATTTCTCATGTGCAACATCATTCAAAGATGCATACTGTCCGCCTTTGGGGAGCATTACATGACCGAAACCATTTTTGTTCAATTCAGAGATAAGATCACCTTCGTTGCCCAGATTTGTGCTTACCCGACATTCTACTCTATGAACATAATGCCATTTTTGATAAGCGGATATAAATTTTTTCAAACCCATATTTTCTTCCACAGTAAGGTCACCGCGTTTTCTTGTATGAAAATACACTGTACAATGCCCAATATCTTGTTGTTGATACCCATTCTCATTTAGACGAGTAAATGCATCACACTGCTCGCCATACTCACAGTGAATTTTTTCATGCCGATTTTCGTCCATATGGAGAAGAGCTGCTGTTGTATGATAACCATTTTTAATTTCCAAATAAAACTTACAGGCTGTATTTTCGAGACAAATGCGAAACGAGGTTGGAGTCGTCATAGCTGCTCTTTGGCTCAGTGCTAATTACTTTTTTGCTTAGTAAAGTAGTTGAAATCACTTTTTTTGTTAAATCAAATTTAAAACAACATAAGTTTAAACTCACATTTTATTCTCGATAAAAATTAAATCCCATGTCGCCACTTTTTTAACGACTGCGACGCAGTTACACGTAACTACGAAAAAAATATCGCAGGCCTGTGCGCGCGGTTACGGTAAAAAATTCGCAGTTTCGCATAGCTGCGTCGCAATTTTCCGCAATTACGGGTCACGGTGCGATCGCAGTTATGCGTAACTGCGTCGCAATTTGATCGCAGTCAAACATATGGGATGGTATAATGGAACGAATGAACGTTAAATTTATAAGGATGAAAAAATTTTCAGTTTTTGTCAAATGTAATGCAGAAGACATTGTTTACAATTAATCGAACCCAAATAAAATTATATATATATCGTGTTATCTAACGGGTGACTCATAATAAATGGCTACACTTTGCATTTTATTTTTTCATCATCTAATACGCTTAATTGAAAAACAAAATATATCACAGGATGCAACGTGAAAAGCTCTACAATTTACATAAGATAGCTTTTTTTATAGTTACTCTTTTTGTTTTTAAAATGAGCAAAATTTTGAGCGCCCAAATTTCGACCGTGCGAAAACTGGTCAAAAAGAATTTTGCTTTTTTTCAAAACAAGAAGAAACATTATAAAATCAGTGGTCTTATGTAAAATGTAGAGGTTTCAGGCTGCATCTTATGGTATATTTTGTTTTTATACGAAGACACATTGGGTGATAGAAAGATGAGATAAGGAAAAATGAATTTCTCTTTCGTGTAGAAAAAAATGAGTTTTTCGCAACGACGAAAATTGGTCGCACAGAATTTCGCTTGTTTTGAAAACAAAAGGCGCATGTATGAAATACGCTGTTCTTTGTAAATTGTAGAGCTTTTCACGCTGCATCTTGTGGCATATTTTGTTGTTTTTACGAAGGCATATTAGGTGATGAAAAGATGAAATAAGAGAAAAAAAATTTGAATTAAAAAAGAATGATTTTTTCGTAACGGCCAAAATTGGTGGCAGAGAATTTTGCTTTTTTGAAATCAAATAGTGTACAATTAAAATAAGCTTTATTTCGTAGATTGTAGAGCTTTTCAAGTTGTATCTTGTGGTATATTTTACTTCTTTTTATAAAACATAAAGGATGTTTCATAAGTTTCGCCCCCTCTCCCTTTTTGTTTTTGTCATAACTTTCTCGTATTCCATCGTAGACTGATTTTGAAGATAGATTTTGGAAGAGCAGTATCTAAGCTTTCAAACAAAAAAAAATATATTCCATTACCATGAATTGCACAGTAGAACGAGGTCAAACAAAATTTTGAAAAATTTTCAGGACATGCATTTTTTACTTCTTGCCTATGAAGATTGTAAAAGATCAACAGCCATGCATTTACATACTCACTAGGTTCTATGGATAAAATAGTTTCAGCCCAAAAGCGATTGACCAGTTGCTTCGTTAGAAAATACAAAAATTAGTTTTATCATTACAATGGGCCTCATCTTGGCTGAGCTTTATTTTCTGTTTATCATTGTTAGTGAATGTTTCAAGCTAATGTTAGCTTGTTGCTGAGAGCAAAACAACCTAAAGTCGATCGTGATGTGATCGCGAACTAATACATAGCTATTGTGCTACTGATCTCTTCCACTTTCAAGAGAACCTTGCTATGACTTACGAGAAAATATCTACGACTGAAACCTTCACATTGAGACCATATGATCACTAAGTGGGGCTCAGTAGAGCTTTGAACTCAAATTATTATCGATTTATTGAATTTTTGATCTGTCCGAAAGTTATTCCAAAATAATTATTTGAAGAAATTTCAACTCGATAACTTACTCATTACTCGATTTTGTGCTTCTAGAAATACCGTTAAAAATTCAGTAAAACAGATCTTGTTTTCTTCTGAAAATACGAAATATACAAAACATACCTTTATTTAGCAACAGTTTCAAGATTTTTTTTTAAATTTATTATTCTGACAAACAAGGTTCGTTTTCACTGAACCACTTAAAGTATTTTAAAAACCTGAATTTTTATCTATTGATAAAATTTCAAATGGATCATTTTTTTAATATGACTGTTTTCGAAGTACCTTATAACAGGTTCGAAAACTTATCAAGCATTACAGACTGAAAGACGAAGGCTTCTAAATAACCTATCGAGTTTTGTTCATAGCCTTAATACGGATTCAAACGACATATTTTATTTGACAAAGTTCTTTCGTTAGAGATATTTTTTGCAGGACATATGAATGTACTGAAACGACATTGCTTTTTTGTCAATGTTTTGTATTTTTCAGATCAAATATGGGAAAAAATTCTATTGTATTTTTGATGTTGCATTTGATTACAGTATATACCGCATTCAGTGCATCGCCGATCGTTCGACTTAGTGCAAAATCCGCCAGTGAATCTACTCCAATGTGGCAAACGGCACAAGTATTAAACGTATCAGCACCTGGTAAGATCGTATTCTACAATGATCAAATATTCTAAGTCTTTCTCTTTTATTTCAGCTAATTGGGTTGATTACATGGGTGTAACAACAACAGACGGCTCAGTTGGACAAGCTCAAGTTGAAATATCTACACTTGCTACAGTAATGACAAGCTTGCTCATTCCAGAAAAATTTCGTGATCGAGCAGTTGAAAGTGTTAAAATATTAATAGTAGCTGCAATCGAAGGGTCGTACATAGCTCAAGCATTTACGTTTAACAGCCAATCAGACGCTTTATTGACAACATTATTGATTGTTGCAAAAAAAATAGATTCACCAACTAATCCAAAATTACCAGTAACGGCTACGTAAGTTACGATTAATACAAAAGCAGAAATCAAAAAACTATATACAGTATATGATACAGATAGATGCTTTCGATGTACCGACTGCTTATGGGTTACGGAATGTTGTTGTAAAAGGGATAATCCGAATTATGTTGAACGCGGAAATACACCGAAAGAATTGAATATTATCAAGCAAAAAATGACAGCTGATCAATTCATTTGGTTCAATGAACGGAATTTGAGTAGCCTAGTGAAACGTTCTTTGTCATCAAATGATAATGATAACAATTGAGAAAATATTTTAACTGAACAATAATATAGTTAAGAGAACCTTTACAGTTCAACATATTCTTTTAAAAATAGAAATTCTCGAACTTATTGGAAATTGTACAGTCATCATCGTCTATATAAGACATCACTTGAGACTTTAATTTTCATTTTGCTTTATAATGATTTTCAAAAACATGAGTGTGGGTTTGGGGTGTAGATTTCTGTGACTGTAGTGCTGTGTGAAGACAAATTCTGTACTCATACTCTCTCACACGCATAGCCATACTCGTTGTGAATTAGAAGATATTTTATCGAATATTTAGCATGCAGCTCAAAAGTTGAGAAACAAATCATGAGTTTCTTCTGGTGAAGTGGGGGCCGTACTTCAATTCAAGTAAAGATGAAAAGTATTTGATCTTGAACACAGCTCTGGATTAATTGATAGTTGCGAACCCATTATCTTGTGGGTACAGGAGTAGATGGGGGCGAGCATGGATATACGAATCGGTGACAGTAATAGTGTCAGTGTAAGCAAATGAGAATAAGTTGTGCAGGTGTTCATGTGAAGTGGATGCGGATGAAAATCATTGGTTAGGCAGATATTTGTGGATGTTAGTAGGACAAGAGAAGTTGTGCACCTGCATTCACACACCCTCATATCCCTACAGATATGTAAAAGACACTTCGCACTATAAATCAGCATTGCTCTTTCATACTCTACATAGTTGTATTTTACAATTTTTCTTTCGTAAAAACTGCACCAAGGCCAACGTATTATTATTAACATTTTCTGCTGCAACGTGACGTCACTCGAGTATTGATTTTGCGTTGCTATATAAAAGCTGGAAGAACACTAACCGCTGACACTGAATGAGGTGTACCATTCTCACTTGTCTCATCAATTCTTTTGTACAAGAAAAAAAAGAGCTTCTTCAGTACATCCTGTGTAACCACATCAATTTTCGACGAAAAAGAGAGCAAGAAAAATAGATGCGCCGATCAAATTTTCCATACATTATACAAACACTTTTGTTGCTTCTCGAAAGACAAAAATCAGATAAGAAAAAGGAAATAATATTCATTCCTCCTTCCCCATTTCTAATTTTCAGGTATGCCTAGCATGGCTGTGACTGTTGATCTTCTCTTCATGCGCACTCACAGCAACCCTCGATTATTTTTCAATAGCAAATTATATAGTATGAATATTTGTACTGCCAAAACATATAGGAGTGTACATATGGTTGATGCTGTGATGCTTGTCTATACAGGCACCCATCCCATACCCTTCTATCTTATAGATACAATTTATTTGAAATTGACAGCTAATACTAGGTATGAATAATATGACACAGGTGTGAGTCTTGTTGAGATCTCAATCAAAGTTGAATAATTCAGCCTATATAAATGATCAATGC